ATAATCGATTATTAAATTAGTCATCGATTATTTTAATAATCGATTATTTGTCGATTAATAGATCAATCCGTGCAGCCCTAGTTCATACAACACTAGTTGGCAGTGTTGTGCATATATTGTACATGAATTATTGCCAGCTAGTAAATGTCAAATTGAACTTGTGCTTTACAATTAGCTTCTGCTAGTTTTTCATAAGTACTTTAGAAATTGGGGAGCCAATGTTTGGATTAGCACTGCCCACCACTGGAAGCAGGCAAATCAAAATTATCCTCCTCRTTTTTTATTGACCTCAAAATAATTTATCATGTSATTAATTGAYTTATTGACTATCAGAACAGGCCTAACAACTACAATAAGTTTCAATATTTTAAAACTGAAATATTGTGTCATGCTGTAGGTCGTGAATACTGAAGCGTAAACAGTAGTTGTTTACTCACAGGAGTCAGAGGAGGAAGAACTTTTCATTTTCTTGTAAACTGCAGAGATGACAGCGAGACTCGGAYGTTAGTTACACGTTCATCTAATTTAACAACGGTCTTCTGTTCTGGGATTGTTTTTTCAGTGATGTGGAACCAGAGGCTCATGCTGCTTGTCCTCAAATAATGTTTCCCCACCAATGGGTGCACCACAAGTCTGAAAAAATCCTGTCTGAAATTGGTAGTAGCAATTATGAGGACTGAATTTTTTTTAATGGTTTTAAAGCAAATAATAATAATAATAATAATATTAAGGGTTGTATTATACTAGAGACTGTATTATACATGATGGAATATGGTTTGTCTTCTTATACTTGAGTATATTTTAATAGTGTTTCGTTACCTTTGTGCGTACTCTGGATCAGTGAGTGTTTGCAGCAGCAGCTCTCTGATCTCCTCAGGTGGCTTCAGACCATGAAACTTTGCTCTGTCCCATCTCTGCAACCGGCTGATGCCTACAAACACAGAGAGCAACATGTTGCCTGCAACATCACCAGAGCCTGACAACTCAGCAGGACCGCACTGATGTTTGCGAATCAGGGAAGTCCCAGGACACCTTTTATCCCCCAGTCCCCAGATAAATCTGATTTTCTTTTCATCCCTTATTTTTAGAAAAAGAAAACAAGTAAATTTAAAGGCACTTGGCTRATCATCTGAAACATTACACGATGACATATTGGTTTAAATAATCCATAGTAATTGAAATTGAAGTGACACTGCTACAGCTGACTTCGATGTTTGGGGTGTCAGAGTTTACGTTGAAGAGCTGTGTTACCTGTGCAGGGCCCAAAGYGCCAGTCCAGGTCAAACTCTTTGAGTTTCTGCAGCTCCTTCTCTCTGACAGTTTGAGCTTCATCCTCTGCTCAGAAAAGAAACGAGACAATTCAAGTCATCARTGTCATAAAACAGCTTCTCAGGAACATGTTTTGTTTTTATGTTGAAAAAATGACAAAAAGAGCCAGAAAAATGGTCAGCAACTTGACACATTTTAGTTTTTTTGACCACAATAACAGAAAACAAGGAAAAATGTGGCATCTTAATAGTTTTGTTCAGACTTGTCTATATGAATTTAGAAAAGATCAGAACAAAAAACAAACAACAACACCACAAGGCCAAGCAATATACTAAAATACATTAGCCCTAAACCTCTTAATAATAGTTTTATTAAAGAGGTTTCACCTTTTAAGAAATAAAACCTGTAATCAGTCAGTCTGCCTATTTAAAAGGTGACAGGTAGTCACAGGGCTGCATGGTATCATTGTGTCTCCCAACCTGGAGGACTGAGGACAACGTGTCTCAAGTGTTTATAAAGACAAAGGTTGACATCATTTTAAAAGGTAAAGGCTAAGACTACAGCTACTCAGATTATTTCAGTTTAAGGTCCACAGGACTGGAGACAACCTCCCTGGACATGTCCATAAGTGAACTGAAGAGACAGTGATATGAACCAAAGAGTCCAGAACAACYTGAAAAAAAGATTAGATGTGAACACCAAGGTCAAAGCTCATCAGTGTCAGATTGCATCATTGGACTTGTTTGAGACAAAGTAGACTCCTAGAAAASGACTGGAAGGACTAGGAAGACAAAAACACATGAAGAAAGGTGGACCAGAATACTTGAGGACAGGCGTACAAAAGTGCCTGTGGACAGATGGACCAAAAGACCTGTGGACAAGTGGACCAAAAGACCTGTGGACAAGTGGACCAGAAGACCTGTGGACAAGTGGACCAGAAGACCTGTGGACAAGTGGACCAGAAGACCTGTGGACA